GCTGCTGGGATCTGCCAGCTTTGCCAGGATCTGCCAGCTGTGCCAGGATCTGCCAGCTGTGCCAGGATCTGCCAGCTTTGTCCCCCCCTCCTCGCTGCAGGGCCGGGGGGAATGTCTTGCACACCTGCCCACTCTGCCACAGCCCCGGATTGTCACCGAGGGAGAAGTGTTGACAGCACCACACGGAGCGGAGCAGGCTCGCAGCTGAGCCGGGATTGCTCAGCTCCTTGGCAGGGAAATGACAGGGCCCAAAGAGTGCCTGTCTCTCCAAGGAAATCCTGCAGCGCTTGGAGAGACATCACCTGGATCAGCAGCGGGAGGAAAAGGCTGGGAGCTGACAGAGCATGCAAATACCAGGAGAAGAGGTTGGTGTGGGGGAGCTCTCCCCACATCCCAGCTGTTTTATGGCTTGGGGGAACAGCCTGAGCAGGATGGAGATGGAGAACCTGCATGGAAAATGGGAGCTGGGGTCCCTCCTGCCCAAATTTTGTGCATGAAAGACAAAAAACAGCCTGCTGTGCACTCTTATTTTTTGGGACAAAAGCAAAGTCACCTCCCCGTGCACCCCCAGCCCCTGTCCTGGGTGGGATGAGATCTGCCAGCTGTGCCAGGATCTGCCAGAGCTGCTGGGATCTGCCAGCTGTGCTGGGATCTGCTGGAGCTGCCGGGATCTGCCGGCTTTGCTGGGATCTGCCGGAGCTGATGGGATCTGCCAGCTGTGCCGGGATCTGCTGGAGCTGCTGGGATCTGCCAGCTTTGCCAGGATCTGCCAGCTGTGCCAGGATCTGCCAGCTGTGCCAGGATCTGCCAGCTTTGTCCCCCCCTCCTCGCTGCAGGGCCGGGGGGAATGTCTTGCACACCTGCCCACTCTGCCACAGCCCCGGATTGTCACCGAGGGAGAAGTGTTGACAGCACCACACGGAGCGGAGCAGGCTCGCAGCTGAGCCGGGATTGCTCAGCTCCTTGGCAGGGAAATGACAGGGCCCAAAGAGTGCCTGTCTCTCCAAGGAAATCCTGCAGCGCTTGGAGAGACATCACCTGGATCAGCAGCGGGAGGAAAAGGCTGGGAGCTGACAGAGCATGCGAATACCAGGAGAAGAGGTTGGTGTGGGGGAGCTCTCCCCACATCCCAGCTGTTTTATGGCTTGGGGGAACAGCCTGAGCAGGATGGAGATGGAGAACCTGCATGGAAAATGGGAGCTGGGGTCCCTCCTGCCCAAATTTTGTGCATGAAAGACAAAAAACAGCCTGCTGTGCACTCTTATTTTTTGGGACAAAAGCAAAGTCACCTCCCCGTGCACCCCCAGCCCCTGTCCTGGGTGGGTGCCCAGGGCACGGCCACAGAGCCACAGAGCCACCAGCCATGGCCAGGTAATCCCTGCTGGGGGAGGGCTGGCCTAGCAAACCCAATTGTAAATACATCAGTGTCCTCCTTCTCCCTGCCACCCGTTTAAATCTATTTGATCCACTCTAATGGATTGATCTACAAGTTTGTGCACACACATCCTGCTTTGGACGGGCGGCTGGCAGCGCCTCGCCCATCACGGCCTGTCAGCTCCACTCAGCCTCACCTCCAGCGCTGAGCGAATCCAATTACAGGATAAAGGGTTTTCTTCCCCTCCATATGGTCTCTATAACGCTGTGGCTTTATCTTGCCTTAACCCCTTTCCTGGCGAGGGAGCTCACAAGCCCGGCCTAAGCGGCTCAGCGCCGCGGCCCTGGGTGGCTGCTATGTGATACGGGAAATGGGGTCTTCCCAGGGCACCCAGAGGCACATTCCTCCCTCTTTTCCTGCCCACTGGGGAGGAATGAGCCCCCACGGGAGGGAGATTCAGGGCAGCGCTGCTTATAAAACCAGCCAGAAGCACAGGAGCGAGCTCAGCCGTGCAGTCGGAGTTGTGCTCACAGCCGGGGTTCACGGGGCTGTGCGTCAGCCCGGCACCAGGAGCTCAGCACAGATGTTCCCTTCATGACTGATTTGTTGTGCTCTTGCATTTCCCTCCACCTTGCTCTGCCAGGTGTTCCCTGGGTGCCCTTGGGCAAGTGGCTCCTGTGGTTCCTGTGCCCAGCAGGGCTGGGGATGAGCACCACAAAGGGCTCCAGGAGCCCCCCTCCCCTGTGTGAGCTCTGCCTGTCACTGATCCCTGTGAACCAGGCGTGTCGGCTCTGTGCAAGCCGGTTATTTGATTATAATTATCATCCCTTGCTTTACACAGGACATGAAAGCCCAGAGCAGCTCAGGGCCCCGTCACGCCGCGCGCCGACAAACAATGAGCGAGAGACAATCCCAGCTCAAAGCAGGAAAACCTGCAAGGGGCAAGAAAAGCCTTTTCTTGAGGACAAACACAGAGCAGCAAAGCTCTCCTCCCGCATTAGGCAGGGCCTGGAATTTGCTGTTGTTGTAAAGTCAGCACAGAAAACAACCGGGAGCTCTCCTGGAGAGAGAGCAGCTCATAAACTTTCCCTGCTAAGAGACAGCAAATTAAAGCCATCTCTGTGACAGGGCTGCAGCAGGAGCTGAGGTTGCATTCAGGACACGTCCTGGAGGGACCAGCCACCCTCAGCGGTGTCATTTCCCTGCTCTGGGTTTACTCAAGGCCTTGGCCATTGCTCCGGCTGTGCTGACCTGCCCAGAGCTCTAAATCCACCGGCCTCGGGGCAGTGACCCCAGGGGACAGGTCCGTGAGGACAGCTGGGAGGGGACAGCCCTCTTACAAAGCACAGGTGCCTCAGGCTTACCTGCTCCACAGGCAGCTCCTGAAAAAGGGGAAGGGCCTGGTCCAGATTGGTTGAAACCCTCTCAGTCCAGTTGTCCCTTTGAAAGGGGTCTGGGGACCACCCATGAAGCCAAATCTCCTCCACATTCAGCTCCCAGGGTGAGTGGAGAAGGTCTTCTGAGCCAGGAAAGGTCCCTCTCCCAAAAAGTGCAGCTGCGTGTTCCCCCAGCACCGAGACTCATGTCCCTCTTCCCCCCACAGCTTCCTTTGCACCACTCTTGACTTTAGAAGAGGGAAGGACACCCCAAAGTGGTGCCAGGAAGGGATGGGTGGTGACAATTAACTGTCCCATGGGGTACCTGTGTCCACATGCAAAGCCTTGGAGAAGCATCAGAACTTTGGGATGCTGCTAGCACTGGCAGCAAGGCCTAAATGTTTTTTGAAGTGAAATCTTGGAGCTGAAGATTTGCTTTCTCTTTTGAAGGTGGGCCACCACAGTGAAATACTGGAGCTGGAGGGAGTTGCTTTCTATCACGGGAGCTGGGAGGTGCACACTGGAATTGAGATGGATGCACAGCTGGTTTTGTGGATTAGAATTTCTGGGATCCCCTTTGATATTCATCTCATTCTGCAACAATGTGCCAAATTGTTGTACATCTGGAGCCTGACTATGGCCAGAGAGGCAGGAAATTCCTCCAGGGAAACCTCTGTGAGAAGCAGGGCCATGGGACTCCTCCACTTTCCCCTCATCCCCTCAAGCAAGACCTGGACCAGGAATGTGGTTCCTGATGGTTTCATGGTGTGGCGATTCCAAGAGGCACATCCATCCCGTGGGGAGCCCTCATCCCGGGGCACCTGAGGCTGGCCTGACCCACTTCCCTGCACCACGTCCTACTTCTGCACCCACTGGATCAGGAATTAGGACACCATCCATGCCAACACCCCTTTAGCCTTCCGCTCCCAGCCTCCAGCTCGGAGACGCTCCAGGCGTGCAGGAGACCTCATTCATCCCACGGGACAACGGAGACTTTTTCCATGGGCCCTGCCTTGAGGAGGAGGAGGCCCAGCTTACCTCGTTATCCGATCAGCTCCCTTAACGCCCCACATCCCCAGGATTAATGGCAGAGCTTCCCTAAGGCGCCTTAGGCAGGTCCCCTGGAGAAGGAGCACCCATGACCCAGAAGGAAGAAATGGGGAAGCAGAACTTGGATGAGATGGAGCATTGGCACTGGCCCTGCTGGGAATGGTTTTCCAGGCTCGTGTGTGCTGGGATGGGGATCTCACACTCTGTGCTGAGAGCCTGGGAAAAGCTCCCTTCCATCCCTCTGGCTCTCCCATAGAGAGAGGGAGAGGGATGGAAGGGAGCTTTTCCCTTTTCCAGGCTGTGCTGGTCTCTCCACACTCTCTGCAGGGAGTTCAGGACACCTTTGCTCTCTTTTGCCCTGTGGCACAACCAGGGGTGTGATCAGGGTCACGCAGCCAAGAGCCCTGCCCCAAAATGCTACATTTACCAAAAAATTACCAACTGCAGTACCTTTGGGATGGGAAGTGGCTTCCCCTCCTACCTTTGCCCAGCTCCAGGCCCTTGGCTGTGTCAGCAGAGCCTGGATTTGGGATGCAGACCCCAGCAGTCCCCACACTGAGCCAGGCACCTGAAACAGAGCCCAGCCAACAGCTCAGACCCGCAAAGCTCAGTCCAGTCTTCCCCCAGTGACCTCCCCAAGGTCAGTGGGGCAGAGCTGGTCACTCCCCAGTCCCCAAGTGGTCTCACAGAGTCCTTCAGCCACCCAGGGACACCCCAAACCTGTGACACACTGTGGACCCCAGAACAGCCCATTTTCGCGTCGGCCACTCCCAAACTCCCCACTGCTCCTCCCACCTTTGCCCCTCTTCCCAAGCGCTCCCCACCCCATCCCTTCCTGCCCCCAACACCTTAAACAACATTAAACACTTAATGGCAATTAATACGCTTTAATGCAGGTTTTGGGGCCAACTGGCTGCTTAGAGGGTGCTTAAACCATCAACCCCTCTCAATCCCGTTGCCCTTGTCATACAAAGTTAGCCGAGCCCCTCGTCAGCCTCCCCCCTCCCTCGAGGAGGCCGGAGGGTATAAAACCACCCAGGGGCGCGGCACCGCCAGCCCCCGGCGCGGCGCAGGGCAGGGCACCACCTCCATCCCCTCAACTTCTGCTGCTCCTTGTAATTCATTAATTTTTTAGTTTGGGGGGGAACCCTCTCACTGCGCACTTTCCGCGTTGGGAGGGGGTGGGGCTTCCCTTTTTTTATTAATCAGGGTCGGAACACAATTCGTTGCAGAAAACCCCTCCGGCAGAGCAGCTCCCGTAGCGAGGGCAGGATGAACGGGACGGAGGGGATCAATTTTTACGTGCCTATGTCCAACAAGACGGGGGTGGTGCGGAGCCCCTTCGAGTACCCGCAGTACTACCTGGCTGAGCCCTGGAAATACCGCCTCGTGTGCTGCTACATCTTCTTCCTCATCTCCACCGGCTTCCCCATCAACTTCCTCACTCTCCTGGTCACCTTCAAGCACAAGAAGCTCCGGCAGCCCCTCAACTACATCCTGGTCAACCTGGCGGTGGCTGACCTGTGCATGGCCTGCTTTGGTTTCACCGTCACCTTCTACACCGCCTGGAACGGCTACTTCGTGTTCGGCCCCACCGGCTGCGCCGTGGAGGGATTCTTTGCCACGCTGGGAGGTAAGGCATGGGAATGGGGGCTTGGGGCTTCCTTCTGCAGGGCTTTGGGAGTCTGGTTCCATCCCTTCATGGCACTGTTGGGATGTGAAGCCTCGTTCCCCTTTGCGTGGGGCTCGCGCTGCGCTTAAAATGGGGGAGGAAAAGAGATTTCTGCGTGTTTGACCTTGGTAGCAAGGAGCCTCCGTGGCATGGTGGGAGGGAAAGGAAGCCTGGGAAGGGATCCTTGTTTGCAGGATCCAACCTGGGGTCACCTGGCCCTGATGGTCACTGGCGGTTGTGATGCCAAGGTGGTTACCAGAGACCCACCAGGGATGACCACAGAGTGTTCCTGAATCAATACCAAGCAGCTTGGACCAAGAACAGGCTTGGACTTGATCACCTTAGAGGTCTTTTCCCAACCTTCACGATTCCATGATTATTCCTTTGCCCAAGGGCTTCCCTTTTTGGGGAAATGGAGGGTTTAGAAGGGGAAGAGAAATCCCTCAGGAAGGGAATTCCACGGAAGAGCTAGAGGTGTGGAGAGATGAGAGGGCTCAGAGCTTATCCAGGGACAAAAGGAAGGTGAGGAGGATCTAGGTTGGTTCCCAGGTTCCTCAAGGATGGCTCAGCTCTGTCCCAGCTGCACCAGATTTTTGCCCTTGGGATTTTCCTTGAGGCGTTTCTCAGGGACACACACGAGTGCTGCCAACACTTTGCCCTGCAGAAAAACAGGGAGAATTCACTCAGCAGCCGGAGCCCACACAGCCAGCCCTGCCCACGCCACACCTCGTGATGGATCTGACAGCCACCAGGCCTTGTTGGAGAGACCCAGAGCCACCACAGGGGCTTTGCTTTCCTTCTCCTAAACAGTGCCATTTCCCACAAAGATGCTGCTCTGGAAATACACATTTTAAAAATATGGATATTCTGGCAAAGGCACAGCTGAATGTCCTGATCCAAGCCAAGGAGCGAGGAAAGGCTTGGTTTTGGGGTGGGAAGATCCCAAAGTCTGCTCCATCCCTGCTCAGTGAGCCTTGGGCAGCATTATTTTGCCTTTCCAATGTTTGTACCTCCCAGAGGAGGAGGAGGAGGCTCCTGTTCCCAGGGAAGGAAGTTGGCTGGGAAGCAGCGGCTGTGTGAGCAGCAGGTCCCCAGCGAATCCCAGCACAGGGTGTCGTTATCAGCAGCTTATCACAGCTGGGGGCATTAGCAGGCTTACAGCACCGACTAAACGCTCCCAAATCCCCTGAAGTTTAATTATCCCTCATAAATACATGTGCACGTTTCCCACCCACACAGTCCCCCCTCCCCGCACCTCCCCTGATCCAGCGCCAGCAGAAGGCTCGTGAAATGCACATTTAAAGGAATCAACAGGTTTGGAGGCATCTGGCAGCATTGCCAGGAATTGTGCTTCCCCACGCCCTGGTGGGATTCACTCCCTTGATTCTTAATTTATTAAACCCTTCCACTCCCAGCATCCCCTCGGCTCCCAGAGCTTCTGCACATTATGGGTGGAGGATTCCCAGTTTTCTAGCAGGATGCTGCTTATCCCACGCTGATCCCCACCTCCCTCTGCTCTCCTCTGGAAGCACCAAGGGAAGGTGGAGCCCAGAGGGGCCCTGACCACTCCGTGGGCTCTCCCTCTCCTCCCCGCAGGCCAGGTCGCCCTGTGGTCCCTGGTTGTCCTGGCCATCGAGCGCTACATTGTCATCTGCAAGCCCATGGGCAACTTCCGCTTCTCCGCCAGCCACGCCATCATGGGCATCGCTTTCACCTGGGTCATGGCCATTTCCTGCGCCGCCCCGCCGCTCTTCGGCTGGTCCAGGTGAGCTCCGGCATCCTCAGCAGCTCCCGGATCCCTCCATTCCTTCAGGGAGAGCAGGTGGCTCCCGGCAGGGAAGTGCTTGGCCTCGGAGGAGGGAAATGAATGTCCCATTCCTGTGGGAGGGAGGGAGTGTCACAACAAGGTGACACTGAATGCTTGATTGCACCCAAACCACGTGTACCACCCTTCCAGCGTCCCCCATCCTCAGGGAATTCCAGCCCTTTTGCCCCCAAGGAGGGTCCTGGAGCAGATTCCGACCTTTCTCCCTGCCAGGTACATCCCAGAGGGGATGCAGTGCTCCTGTGGGCCCGACTACTACACCCACAACCCCGACTTCCACAACGAGTCCTACGTGCTCTACATGTTCATCATCCACTTCATCATCCCCGTCGTCATCATCTTCTTCTCCTACGGGCGCCTCGTTTGCAAAGTCCGCGAGGTAACGGCCGGAGGGGACTGATGGGGACAGGGGGTGGCTTGGGCAGGACGGGGGACGTGGGTTAGGGGTGGAGAGCAGCCCCTCACCCCCCCTGTGTGCACAGGCAGCTGCCCAGCAGCAGGAATCAGCCACGACCCAGAAGGCAGAGAAGGAGGTGACGCGGATGGTGATCCTCATGGTGCTGGGCTTCATGCTGGCCTGGACGCCCTACGCCGTGGTGGCGTTCTGGATCTTCACCAACAAGGGCGCCGACTTCACGGCCACGCTGATGGCAGTGCCTGCCTTCTTCTCCAAGAGCTCCTCCCTCTACAACCCCATCATCTACGTGCTCATGAACAAACAGGTGAGACGCCCTGGGGCTGGGGGCTCCACGGGCACGTTGCTCCTTCCCAGAAGGATCTCAGTCCAGGGACTCCTGGTTCTGTAGCACGTCCCTACTATCCCCCAGTGCCACCATTGTCATTTCTGTCCCCTCCCCAGTTCCGTAACTGCATGATCACCACGATCTGCTGCGGCAAGAACCCCTTTGGGGATGAAGAAACCTCCTCCACCGTATCCCAGAGCAAGACCGAGGTCTCCTCCGTCTCCTCCAGCCAAGTATCACCTGCATAGAGCATGGACAGTTTGAACTGGGGTGACCTGCCGAGCTCGGGGACCCAGACAGACGCCCCACAGCCATTCCCTCGTGCCCCGGCCCCCTCCCCTGCAGGGGAATTTAGCTGTGCCCCTCCTGCTGTAGCTGTGCAGACCCCACCCCACACATCCACGGGGACCCACACGTGGCACTCTGAGCTCTGCCACTCCGAGCCTGGGGAGCCCAGGGCTGTGGCCCAGCTCCCAGGAGCACATCACCTCTGGGGGACTGTCCCTGCCTGTCCCCATCGAGTTCAAACAGCTGCAGTTGATGGGGACCCCAAACTTTTCCTGCCTGAATCCCGCTCCCTGGGCTCCTGGGAGCGTCCAGGAGCATCCAGGCCTCATTTGCAAAAATCTAAATATTCTGGCAAAGCCCCAGGAGCAGGATCCCGTGGCTGGGGTGGCCCCACCTGCCCCTCACCATGGCCTGAGCCTGGGGCTCTCCGGAGCCACGCTCCCGCCGGGATTCCCACCAGGAATCGATTCCTGCAGCCTCTATAAATCAATATAACAAACGGAGCCACGAGCAGGCTCTGCTTCCAGCCCGGCTCCCTCTATCCCCAAGACAACACTGTAGATACATTTTTTTGTCTTGGAACCTGTAAATATTTGCTCACGTCCTTTGAAATCTCTATCCCTCTCAGCCCTTTCCTTTCTCCTCCTCTTCCCCACTCCAAAGCAGAGAAATTCCCCTTCCACCTCTGCTCTGGCTGGACAGGCACGGCCACCCTTGGAGGGTGGGGCCGGGACCCGAGCGCTTTCCTGTACATATTTTATAAATAAATAATCTCATGTCAGCACAAGGACGTCTGCAGTCAAGGAGTAGGGATTTAAAAAAAAAATAAGAAATAAACAGAAGCAGCACAGAGAAAATACAGATGCTCAGTCCTTGTCCTTTCTCTTGGGCTGTGGGGACAAGATGCTGGTGGCCAGCTGGGGGAACACGATGCTGCTCTTGGAGACACAAGCCTGCAGCTGTCCCAAAAGCCATGGGAAGGGAGATCTGTGGGTGACACCATCCCCACAAGGTGACAGCCCCATTAGCTGGAGCACCAAAGGTGTTTAGAGGCAAAAAGAGACACACAGGGCACAGCCCTCGCTGCCCAGCCCAGGGTTTTTGTGCTTTAATATTTAAGATTTCCCCATGTAGCCTTAAATAAAGCTTCAGCTGAGAGCTTCTCACAGAGTTCAAGTTCCCCTTCCTGCAGGGCCCTTCCAGGCAGCGTTGTGGCAGAATTGGCAGAATCAGGGAAAAATTGTTCCCTGTGTCAGTGAATTCATTCAGGAGTGGCTGGAGAGGGATCCCAGTGGCAGAACCTCGCTCTCCTCCCCTCCCTGCTCAGCTCACACCTCCCTTCTCCAGTGTTTTTCCTCCTTTTTGGGTCCAAAGCCATCAAAACCAGCAGGAAGTCCCAGACTCATCCCTGCCATGGGAAGGCAGGGGTTGGAGGCACTTTTTGCCCCGAAACACCAGGCCTGGGAGGGGAAGGATGAGCCCCAGCTCTCCAGGCACCCTCCTGTCTCTGCACCCACCCAAATTCAGGGCTCCTGGCCAGGATTGCCCTGGAGCAGCTCCCACAGCACTCCTGCTGTGCTGAATGATTCAAGACCACTCTGCCCATCCCAGGAGCTTTTTTTCCTTCCCTACAAAGCCCCGTACCCAACTCAGAACTGATTTCTTCAAACCATGCGGGCAGGGGAGGAGCAGCCATACCCAAAAACCCAAACCTCACCCAGCCCAACAGACCCAACCCTTCCCTGGCAGAAAGCATCTCATTCAAAGGTTCCCCTTGAAAAATCCCCCTTTCCTTCCACTTTTCCATAAATACATGGATTTACCCAGGCACTGCATTTGCAACCAGCAGGGACCATCCTGACATCACCCGCTCAGGGCAGGCACCACCAGCTGCTCCAGCACTGCTGGCCTGGCACTGCTGCCACCCAAATTCAGATGCAAACTGAGGAGAGCAGCCAGACTCATCCAGGGAATGCAGACAGCTGGAATCTCGGGCCCAAAGGGCATTTCAGTGTCTGACTCCCATCCTTCTGCAGCTGGGACTGTTCCTCCTCATCCCAGCACTGCTGTCAGCTGCTTTAGGAAAACTGCAGTAATTGGCTCAATTCATTTTAAATCAGTTCTCGTTTGTGCAAGCAGCACTCAGGGAAAAGCAGCTTGGAGTTAATAACGTCCTGATTTGGAGCATCCACAGGGATGAGGGGGAAATCTCAGTGAGGTGTTTTTGGTCTTTGCCCCACAGCCCTGGGCACAGACAGAACCCCAAAAAAAGGGACAAACCAGGCTCCTGGCCCGGTGCTGTTCCCCACAACCCTCATCCTGCCCAGGGCTGATCTCTCCAGGCTGGAATGGCACTGCCTGCATTTCTCCCAGGACATTTTTATCCCATCAGTGCAGAAGGAGCAGCTCCATGCCAGAGGGTCTGGCTCTGCTCATTTGTCTCTGCCAAAGGAACAACATCTCCTTGTCCAGCCACTCCAGCAGCTCTGGGAACAAGAAGATTAAAGCCCTCAAACACTCCCCCCTTCCCTCTGTGCCATCACACACAGGGCTGGGGGGGCCAGATCCCTCTCTGGGGTGCCCAGACCTGCTGCCAGGGGGAAAAGCTGCTCCTCAAGGGAAAAACTGCTGGAATTAGAGCTTGGGAAAAGCCAGGATTGCCCCTGACAGTGCCAGGGGCACCTTGCACAGCCCCAGCAGCCCAGGGAGACCCAGGCAGTGCTTGCCTCCCACCCAGGAGGCTTCAGGAGTCCCCAAATTTGTGTCACTTTGTGTCACATCCCCAGCCCGAATCCATCGCGGCTGCCTGTGTCACGTTAGCAGCAATAAAAGGATTCAAACAGCAATTCCTTACTTTTATGAACAAATGGCCCTGGCTGGATGATTCAGGCAGCATTCAATTCCCAGCCAGAAAGTGTCAGCAAAATCCCAGCCTCTCACATGTAGGTGGATAACTGCAAATGAAAGGAGGGAATTATTAGCACTTAATTCTCGGTGGGTTTGCACTCCCCAGTGCTCCTCTCTGGGAGATGCTGAATGCTCCAGTGCTCCAGCAGCTGGGAGGGCCCTGCCAAGGGGGCTGCAGGGACTGGGGTGATGGCTTTGGACACTGGGATTGACCTCACCCCACGGCCAGGGCCCTGCTCCAGCCCAGCCCACTAGAACCCCTTGTCTCCTCCAGCCTGTCCTTCCCACAGCCCTTTTCTCTTCTGATCCATCCTCTCCAGAACCCCTTTTATCCTCCAGACTTTCCCTTCCAGAGCTCTTTTCTCCTCCATCCCATCCCATCCCATCCCATCCCATCCCATCCCATCCCATCCCATCCCCCTTTTCTCCTCCAGCCTGTCCTTTCCAGAACCCCTTTTCTCCTCAGACTTTCCCTTCCAGAGCCCCTTTTCTCCTCCAGCCTGTCCTTACCGGAATCCCTTTCCTCCTCCATCCCATCCTCTCCAGAGCCCTTTTCTCCTCCCCACACCCCCTCTCCCATCTCCCCCTCCCCACCCAGGGAGCCTCAGGGACCCCAAGCCCTTGGTGCCACAATCCCCCCAGCTCCAGATGGATCCAGGGAGGTTCCCCAAGCACCTGGGGCTGCTCCTGGCCGTGCAGCAGTGTGCTCCACACTCTCCATTTCTCCTTCACCCAGCCTGCCCGTATTTTTCTTGTTCATCAGACTGACAAATGGGCAGAAAACAGACTCCTGGTGATTTCCTGCACAGGCTGCCCACTCCTCCTCTCCCCTCGGCGATGACTGAGAGCTGAAAAAGCAGGAATAGCATATAAATTTCCTCCCTGCTTTAATAAATACCTCTATTACCTTGTGCTTTCCCCCGGCTCACTGTGCAGCTCCTGCTGCCCGCCAGGCAGACGTGATAAACCAAAATTCACATTTCCGTGGGGAATCAGCAGCAGGGCTCAGACAGGCTGGCAGCAGCATGGGAGGGGTGAAGCTCCCACCTCGGGGGTCTGGCTGCAGCTTCACATCATCCCACAGGGAGATAAATTAATTCATTTATTACCAAAAGGGAGCTGGGGTTTGTCTGGCCCCTCTGTGGACACCCTGGGGCAGGAGGGGTCCCACCATTCCCAGGGCTTGTCCCAGACACCTCTGTGCCCCTCGGGGTGAGCCTGGCGTTCCTGAAGGGTGGGAATAAAGACAAACCCTGCTAAAATCTCAGCCAGAGGGTGCAGGGGGAGCAGAAGGGTTTGGTGGTGGAGGGAAAGCTGTCACAGCTGGGATCTGTGCTGGATTCCTCCTCCCTGGGCCTCCTTCTCATCCAAATCCTTGCCTGGGGCTCTCAGGACACCCAGGACAGGATGTGTCACTGTCCCTTGGCCAGGAGACCCCTGAGCAGTGCAGGAGCAGCCCGAGCATCCCAGTGGGATGCAGAGACCCCCTCCATCCCCAGCCCACCCCATCTGAAGGACAACAGGCAAAAGCCACCGGCCTTTTACACCCCCTGAGGCACCAGTGTCCCCTCTGCCACCCCCAGCACAGCCCGATGCAGCCCTGCCAGTGCCACTGTCCCCATCCCCCGGGCACAGCGCCGCAGCCTCGGCTCCTCCTCCCCCGGAGCCGGATTGATGCGGCGCTTTGCAAAGCCGGGGGAAAAAAAAAAAAAAAAAAAAAAAAAAAAAAAAAAAAAAAACACCTTCAAAAGGAGCATTAGGAGGTGGCAGCCACCCAATTTCCCCCTTAGCCGGCGATTGCTGTGTCTCATCTGCTTCCTGGAGTCTATTTAACTTCTGTATTTAACAAGCTCCTAAACAAGCAGCAGCAGCAAGTGGCAGCGCCCGGCTCCCTCCGTGCGAGTGGCATTTGGGGGCCCAGCCCGGGAATGGGAAATTCCTCCGAAGTCGCTTTGATTTATGGCTCTCGTTAATTCTCCAGGAGGGCCCCGAGCTGCCCCGAGCGCACGGAACCTCCGAGGGATAAATAATTTACCAGCTGGTTAAATATTCTTTAAGGGCTAGAGAACATCAGT